ACTAAATTTAATATGGACGGAGAAATTTTAAATCTTATTCATACCAGATAACCCTCATGTCCAGAGACTACCTTGACAATCTTTTACAAGCTTCATGTGTATTATAATCACCTAGTTTATTTCCGGGAAAGGAGGTGTTTCGTTTCCTGCTCTCGTACCAGGCCAGGGCTGGAGATAGAAGCGGGGGATAGGGGTGCTTTGATTCAGGCTCCCATTGTTCGAGATATTCTTTTCTCTGTTTGTTTTCTTTGTACTGCCGGGCGATCAACTTTCATGAGCCACGGGGCGGAAGAAAAACAAAATCTAGTAGCATGGCCTTTTAGCAGAGAACTGAGAGTAAACAAAGGATTTCGGAAGAAAGGAAATATGCTCCACACACATACTTTTTTAAAAAACTAAATATAATACTATAAAAGTCAAAATACTGATATCAGTGTTCTGTGTTGTTCATGTTTGACGATTACCACTCTATCAGTATCTCCTAAACTGCGCTTTTATTTTAAAGCATTTAAACTATCATATTGAGATTACAGCGATAAACGCAAAAGGCTGCTTTTTCACACGAGCACATTTCACTATTCTAAACAGACAACACAACGAAACAAGACAATTCTGTGACAGACTGAATATTCCCGTGAAAAATTCGGTCTAATACATCACTTTTAAGTCGTTTCTAAGACTGTGCCAATGTTTTCACCGCAGGCGGTCTAGAAGTATTAAAACATTTCCAGCAATCAGCTGCTTCCCACATCCTTTCCATCCTCCACCTGTTAGTTGGGTCACGCAAAGCTCCTCTCCAGAGTGAGGAAAAGCTACGTGGTGTTCCAAACAATGATAGCGCGAAAAACTGGCAAGATACTCGCTAACTGAAGTTTGATTAACTGACTGAGAACGGCAAAGGAGTGCAGATGAATTCCGAAGCTTTTGTTATTTGAAGCGAGATACAAGTGGAATAAAAAGAACGCAAGTAATAAAATACAGTTTTGTGAAAATCCTTGTTGAAGTACATAGATACTTTCTGCTTCATGTTGTCCAATCAGAAATAAGGATAACCATCCAGTTACAACTGGGGAACGTCGCAATACCGCTGCGAAAGGTCGCGGGCTCAGTCAGGGAGACATGTTTTCATACAAAGAGAGATTTTCTACAAAGGTAAGAACAGTGTGTCATAATTTAATTGGTGCAGTGACGAACAAATGAGGAGAGACCTTCTGAAGAGAGCTGCTCCATAACTTAACAAGGACTTTTCCTTACATGGTACATCACTACCCTTTGTTCCGAAGACGACAAACATTTTGCATGTGAGGTTCTTGTCTAGCCGAGCTCTTCGTTATTTTACTCAGAAATACTTAG